CTGTCTCAAAAAAAAAAAAAAAAAAGATGTAATTAACATACACTGTACATTTTTTTAAGTATATACTTTGATATGTTTTGATATGTGTACATCTATGAAGCCCTTATCCCAATCAAGGTAGAATATATTTTACCCAGACTTCCCTGATGTTCCTTTGTAAATCCCTCCTTTCCACCCCATGCCCCCTACCCAAGCAAGCTCTGCTCTATGTAAACTATATAGGTTGGTTTTATATAAATGGAATTGTTTTGTATGTGTGATGGCTTCTTTTATTTGGCATAATTGAGATTCATCCATGCTACTGTATGTATCTGTAGTTGATTTTTGTATTCTTTATTGTTGTTGAATTGTATTCCATTGTATGGTTCTGTGACAGTGTTTTTTCTTTTCTTTTCTTTTTTGAGACAGGTCTTGAGTCAACCACTCTGAAGTGTAATGGTGTGGTCATAGTCACTGTAACCTTGAACTCCTGGGTCACTCAGCCTCAGGCTTCTGAGTAGCCAGGATTCCAAACACATACTGCCATGCTCAGCTAATTTTTTTTAAAAATATTTTTTAGCAGAGATGAGGGTCTTGCCATGTTGCCCAAGCTGGTCTCAGCCTCCTGGCCTGAGTAATCCATCTCACCATCCCAAAGTGCTGGGATTACAGGCACAATAAATTGTTTATCCATTCACAAAATGAATGTTTGGGTTGTTTCCAGGTTTTGGTGGTTTAAACAAATAAGCAGCCACGAAGTGAGACATTTTTTATTTCTATTTTTAAATCAACTTTATTGAGGCATAACTTAGCCTATAAAATGCACTCTTCTGAAGTGCGTATTTTGATGAATTGTGACAAATTTGTACGCCCTTGTAACTAACAACCACTTCAAGATACAGAACACATGTCTCAGTGCCTGTGGCTCAAGTGGCTAAGGCACCAGCGACATACACCTAAGGTGGTGGGTTTGAATCCAGCCCGGGCTATCAAACAACAATGACGGCTGCAACCAAAAACTAGCCAGGCGTTGTGGCGGCCGCCTGTGGTTCCAGCTACTTGGGAGGCGGAGGCAGGAGACTCTCTTGAGCCCAGGAGTTGGAGGTTGCTGTGAGCTGTGATGCCACAGCACTCTACCCAGGGTGACAGCTTGAGGCTCTGTCTCAAAAAAAAAGAAAAGAAAAAAAGATACAGAACACATTGGCTTTGCCCCAGAAATTCCCTTGGAGTCCTTTCCCGTCAGTGTCTCTCACCCCCAGCCCAAGCCACCAGATTTGCTTTCAGTTACTGCAGAATGAATTTGTAATTTTTTTTTTTTTGAGACAGAGACTCACAATGTTGCTCACAGGAGAGTGCCTGGCATCACAGCTCACAGCAACCTCAAACTCTTGGGCTTAAGCGATTCTCTTGCATCAGCCTCCCAAGTAGCTGGGACTGCAGGTGCCCACAACACCCAGCTATTTTTTGGTTGCAGTTGTCATGGTTGTTTAGCAGGCCTGGGTCGGGTTCAAACCCACCAGCCTTGGTGTATGTGGCTGGTGCCCTACTCACTGAGCTACAGGTGCTGAGGCAAATTTGTAATTCTTAGAATTTTGTTATTAATGGAATCATGCAATCATCAAATTAATGTAATTTTAGTTACTTGCTTTCCTTGCTGAGCATGATTTTTGAGTTCATCTTGCAGGTATTGTTGAAAGAATCTGTAGTTCCTTTTTATTACTATTTCATTGTATGAATTTGCCACAGTTTTATCTATTAATGTGTTGTTGGGCACAGGTTCTAGTTTTTGGCTGAGTAAAGTGGATATGATGTACAAGTTGCAGGACAGTTCTCTGGGTGGCCTTGAACCAACCCAGTTCTCCCTACTTTCTCACTTGTGGGTCTCAAGAACAGTTACACAATGTGCTGGGAACGCAATATCCTGCCATAAAGAGGGACTGACCCAAGCTAGCTGGGCTCAGTTCCAGTCCCCCTCCTAGAAGCAGGATGTTCGTTAACCTTTCAGCTTAGTGTGTTGTGTGGTACCCTGGGGCAAAGAACCCAGAGCAGGTTGCTTTCTGGTATCCTTCAGCTATGGTAAAAGTGAGGCCTTTTCCCCACTAGCAGGATTCCAACTGCGTTAGGCAGCTTTCCTAAGCCTTAGGAGGCAGGCTTGCAATTAATTAAGTCCATGCTTCCGTTGTGCTGCACTCTCACACACACAGAGCTTGCTCCCAGACCTCCAGTCACTGTTCAATTGGCCCTTTCTGGTGAGATCTTTCTTTTTTTGGCCAGGGCTGGGTTTGAACCCGTCACCTCCAGCATTTGGGGGCTGGCGCCCTACTCCTTTGAGCCACAGGCGCTGCCCGGTGAGATCTTTAACCATCCTGTTTCACTGGCAGCCTGGAATTTCTGCTCTTTTATTTTCTTCCATAGCAAATATCCATCCAACAAATTTATTTGCTTGTCTTCTCATAAGGAAAAGTAGTGATAAAGATAAACCCAAATCACAACATTAAAAGTAATTTACGGGCTCGGCACCTATAGCTCAACCGGCTAAGGCGCCAGCCACGTACACCTAAGGTGGCGGGTTCGAATCCCCAGCCCGGACCCGCCAAACAACAA